TGCATTTTAGAAAGTGGGTAGAATTTCAAAAAACAACTGTGGCTTAATCAAGCCATTCGTTCATGCCACTGAGATCAGAACCACCGGCGAATCTTACTAAAAATCAAGAAGATTCCTGGGCCCCATCTCAAGAACCCGTGAAAACATGACAGAGCGATTCTAGGCAGAGAAAAATAGCACAGAGGAAGAGCAAAGTAGCGAAAGGAAAGTGCCAGATACAGCCCCCAACATGAACTTTTCAGCCTGGCCACTTCATGGGGTTTGTTCCCAAGAGGGGAGGGGGTGATAAGGGTGCCAGGACAGGCGAGCAGGCTAAAGTCTAGTGGTCTGGAAGCAACTGGGGCTACCTGCTGGGTTTCTCAGCCTCCGTGCTGCTGACCCTGGGGCTGGACAGTTGTTCGTCGTGGAGTTTGTCCTGTGCGCGTAGCAACTTTAGCAGCACCCCTGGCCTCTGTTCATCACCTGTCTCCCAAACTGTAACAGCCAAACATGTCTCCAGACATTGCCAAATGGCCCCCGAGGGACAAAAATCACCCCCAGTCAAGAACCACTGATGGGGGGGGGGAACGGTTTAAATTCCTTGTTTGGTTGTTAAATTCCTTGGCTCCCGCATGAGACAGAATCAGACGCTCGCCCCACTGAGCCACCCGGGCGCCCTGAGATAGGCCCACCTTTTATAGAGCTTTCCCTTAAGCCCAACCAGCAACTTCTGCTTCTATCTCACTGGTCTGGGTCACATGGCCATGCCTAGCTGCCAGGGAGTCTGGGAAATGCAATCTTTCTAGCTGGGGACGTCACCATCCTGGACAAAATGAGAATTCTGGAGTGAGGAAAAAGGGAAGGGGGAATGGCTTTGAGAGGTCGATTTTCAGGCCTTGCTACTGCTCCTAATCTTCCTTTCTATGTAGAGAGACAAGCTCAGCAGTCTCTCCCCAGTAATCTTCCAGAAGGAGCCGGACACACCTCCCAGGCAGCCATGGAATTCAGCTGTGAAAATTGCCCTAGAAAAGTCCTCCAAAAGGGAGCTTCTTATCTCTGCCTGCTGGTAGAGTCTTCAAACCAAGATCAAGTTTTTAGTCTATTTTCCTCGAAATAGATTGGCTCCGTGATACGTGGGAGCAGTTGGGAAACAAGCTTTTTAGGAGGGGTGTCTTAGTTCTTATCCTCACTTCCTGTTTCCCTGGGACCCACACGAGGCCAGTGCAGTACGGGGTCATCCACATGGCCACAATTCCATTCAATTATCTGCCCTACACACTTGCTCCAAAGCCTAAAATGCACTCCATTAGGCACTCCCTCCTTTGGGTCAGGCATTACTCTTTTAGGTGCCTCTTAAAATGTCAGTCCTCTCTAACAGGGGTAAAAGAGTATTTAATCCACCACCTTAGTGTGGGTCTGAGCTCACTAGCCCTTTTCCTCCTCCCTTGGAATTCCTGCCCAGTAGGCACTTGGGGGCACTGAAACCTGTGAGGGGGAAGGTGGCTGGGGTGGGGCAGGGGGCAGAGAGGGACAGCATGTCTGTCCTGGAAAGGAGGGGGGCACGCAGCTGGCTCACCTCCTTTACTGTAAAAGCTGCAGCCGCACTGGTACTTTGGTTGGAGGTATTAATAAACTGCTGGTAAGTTTGGGTCCAGCAGATGGCAACCCCATGACCTTTGAGTTGACTTTGCCTCCCTTTCTCTCCCCACCCACACTTCTCAACCTGAAGACTAAAAATCTGGCTTTCCTGTAACTTGCGTTGACTTTAACTCAGGGAATAACACTGCTAGTAAGAGACGAACACAGAGGGTGGCGGGCGGGGAAATCAGCATTCCCCAGAAAGCCTCGCGTCAAAGTCACAGATAACAATGATGCGGTCACGCGTCCATTTCTTGCTGCACGGAGCCTTCCTTTAGCCCGGGCTTTCCAGGGAGACATCGTTGGCCAAGAGAGGTGGCAAACCTCTCCAGTGCCACCTCAGACCCGGGCAGAAGAGGTCCCTATTCCGAACCGCCAGGAACGGGCACTGGGCCTCCAGCTAGACTCTTTCTCACGGGGCAAAGAGTTCTTAGACCCAACGGGTCATGCCCACCCAAGGCCTTCTGTCCCCTTGTAAACCATGCTCCGATCGCTTCTCAGCCTTTTGGCTAAGATCAAGTGTAGTAAACCATGCTCCGTATACCAGGACACCAGAATCCCCCACCTGAGTGGCCCTGAGCTGGCTTCCAGGAGTTGCAGCCCTCTTCCCGGATACTTCTTCTTCAGGATAGACCACACCACTGGCATATGCACCTTTGGACCCTAGGGATGGCCAAGGGAGGGCTGTCTGCGCGAGAGGGGTGCGGGTGGAACCCAGTCTTGTAGGCTGGTAGGCACACCAACATGAGTGTGGGGCCGCTGAGGGGGAGCCAGGGGAGGGACAGGAAGAGGACAGGCTGCTGTCTTGGGGCCGTTTGTTCGTGGGCCACCTGGTGCTAATACAAAATTCTGAAGCACCCAAGAATTCGAAATTCAAACCTCGTCTTCCAGGCTGGTATGCAGGTATGTTTGCAGGAGAAGAGAACATATTTTGCTTACCATATTTCATATATTTTGTAAGCCTGATTTATAATGTGTAAATACCTAGACATACGCTATGTGGCCTCTGTTTGTACTTTGGCCCCAGGCCCTGCAAATAGTAGGGGCCAGCCTGTTCCACAAACATATTTTACTCGGGCTGCAGGGCGTTTTGAAAACTGAGAGGTTTCGGGGCGCCTGAGTGGCTCCGTCGGTTGAGCATCCCACTTCGGCTCAGGTCATGATCTCACAGTCTGCGAGTTCGATCCCCGCGTCGGGCTCTGTGCTGACAGCTCAGAGCCTGGAGCCTGCTTTGGATTCTCCCCCCATCTCTCTGCTCTTCCCCTGCTCATGCTCTCTTTCTCTCAAAAATAAATAAGCAAAAAATATATAAAATAAAATTGGAAGATTTCATGTATAAATTCTGATTTGGGCTTTTCTTGACACGTTGCAAGATGTGGCAACACTGGGCCTGAACTCCCACAGGGCAGTGTGGGATAGAACCAAAGGGCAGCTGCCTGCTCTAGGCAGACAGGCACTCCCTCCTCAGTTTGCCACACTCCCCACTACTCCCAGCTGCCCTACATGGGCTGAGCTTCATGTATCTGCATTGCCTGCCTGAGCCAAGTGTGGGTCTGTGGCCCACCAGCCGGAGGGAGCGGTCCCTGTTGGGTAGGAGGCTGGGACAGAGCTGGGGGGTGGGATCCATGGTCAGAGAGCTCTGCAAGTTCAAATTTATTCATAGCCTCTCCTCCAGTGGTCCTGTGAGATGAAGTCAGCACTTCATAACTCCCCCAGGCTCAGCCTGATGCTTCCTTGACCAGACTGATCAGAAAGGAGAAGCGCAACTGCCTGGGGTCATTAGAAAGTACAGAATGAAAGAGGAAGAGCAGGTCTCATCAAGAGATGGGAACCGTGCACGTGAGCTCTGCATTTCTAGTCGGGGCCCTGAATGTCACTCAGTAGATGTTCGGCACAGGTCAT